CGGGACATGACACACGGCGGCGGCAAAACTGGGGGTGCCCAGAGCAGCACAGGGAGGGCTCCCCATTTTAATGGGACTGGGGTGGTCCCGGTGACGACACACCGAGGTGTCCCTGTCCCCGCGGGGCTGGGGGGCGACACTCTGGGGGCTCACTTGGCCAGCGGGCGGCGCGCGCGGTTGACGGCGTCCAGGTCGGCGTAGCGCAGGTCCAGCTGGCAGCCCACCAGCACGATGGGGGTGCGGGGGCAGAAGTGCTTGATCTCGGGGTACCACATGGTCTTCACGTGCCGCAGCGAGTTGGGGTTCGCCAGCGAGAAGCAGAGCACCACCACGTCCGACCTGCGGGGAGGGCAGCGCTGTCCCGGTGTCACCCGCTGTCCCCAAACCCGCCCGGCACCCGGGTCCCAGCCCCGCCCCAGGTCACTGTCCCCAGCCTGGGACCCTCCAGGAGCCTCAGGACCCCCTGAGAGCCCCGCAGCCACACGATCCCCTGGGAACTCCGTGGCTTCTGGGAGCCCCATGACAGGGACAGGGGACAGGAGGGACCCGGCGGTGGCTTCGGGTCACCACCGCCGGCCAAGCCACGGGCTGCCCCTGCCCGTGGTGGTCCCAGCCCCTGAGCACCCATGGGGGGTCCCTGGGTGGGTGCCAGCCCCCAGCACCACGGACATTCCACGCTTGCTGTCCCCAATCCCGCCCCCGCACACCGTGGGGCGGCCACTGCCATCCCAGCCCTGGCTCCGGGGACATAAGGTGCCAGGGGACATGGGGGGGGGCGTGCCAGGGGACATGGGGGGTGTGCCAGGGGACACAGCGGCGGTGCCAGTACCCCCAAGTCCCTGCGGCAGCCTCGTGGCCCCGGGCCCGGGTTGTTTTTAGTCCGTGCCGGGACGGGACGTGACCGGGAGGCGCCGCTGGAGCCGGGCCCGTGTCCCAGACCAAGATAGCCGCCACCGGCCCCCCCGGGGGCCCCGGCCAGCCCCGGGGCCACCGCGAGCCACGGGGACACGGG